ATTCATAATTAAATAATTTTAAATAATATTTATTACTGTGAGAAAACAATCGATTAATTAATTATAGAGGCCAGTGCCTTAATGTCTTATTTCATGGAGAGAAATTTTTCCGAGATTGCAATCGCGTTTCGAAGGCTGCAACGTCCAACCCCGATACGTTCGTGTAAACAAATTAAGCGCTAGACGTCAGTCGACTGACCTTTTTCGCGATGCCTATACCTACCTAACTGACCTGGCCAAGGACCGTGAGGAACGCTCGAACCAAGGTAAAGGCAAGGCCGCTAACTGCCCTTAAGCACCGTGCACACCGGCAACGATCGCTTACGAGTGACGCGGGGTTTTATACTATACACGGTTTGTCGTTCCACGCGCGATTAATTATGCTAGCTAACTGATGAGAGCAGCGGCCATTAAAAGTTGGAACACAGTTATTTCGCAACAGACTGAAACCGCCATGACCTCGCAGACCTACTTAAAGTCGGGTTTTGTAAAATTTATTTTCCCGTGAGAGCTTTCCGGTGTAAACGGAAAATGGTTTTTATTAAAGTGACATTGTAGAAACTCTCATCAATTTAATATATCGTTTTTCCTACCCGTTAATTTTCTTATCGACGGTGAATTCGTTTGGAGAAACTATGAAGGAATGATATCTAGATTTGATGGCGGACAATGATAATCGTTTGGGCGTATTAACTAATTGATTCATCCCTGCCTGTTGTTTTCCACGGACGAGAGCGTTGGAATCGATTGCCGAGAGATGACCCGCGTCAGATGCTGATGATTTATCGGCCGCATTATAATTTATAAATGCTCGGGCCCGTTGCGGGCTACGTTATCCGCGCTCGATCGCCGGATAAAATTACGCCGAGCGAAACGGAAAAGCGAGACGAGAATGAAAGTGTGACAAGGAAGGCGAGGGCGAGGGTTATCACGAATTTTCGCGTGCAGCCTCGCGTGCCGCTTGCTTCCAGCAAAATTGTCGAGGAGCGTTTCAAGCCTCTCTTGCAGCACCGTACTTCCGGCCAACCTTCGAACGAATTTCACGTACACACGTACCGATTTCGTGCTCGTCGTTGCCCCACCGCCAATTTACTTTACGCTGCTTTCAATCCATCGCAATTTTTCTTTCAGTTGATTTATACAGTTGATTTATAGTTAGGACTTTTATTGTAATTTGAACGTAATATTCCCTGGTTTTCTTTGAACTATATCATACATTTGTCTTATCGAT